TCTTCCAATGATCATGAATTATTAATTTATGCAAATGAGTCATATCTGTCTACCAATCCTGTTGCACGAAATCCCCATTTATACATACTTCAATAATTCTTTCATGTACTTCCCTTGGCAATGTTCACCATCGACATCACTATTCAGATCCTCAAAAACATCATCGGTGGATATCTACGTGGAAACAAAATGAAGAAATTTTATAAATTTAAACAAAACAAGAGAAAAACAAGAACCATGGCATATGTTTTACTACATGTGTAATGTACATTGTTTTGCACACCCAAGCACGGCATTTAAAAATAAAAGCACAATGTTGTACAATGCGTGCAAAATTTGTGCCACCACAGGGCCCATTGTATTTAAAGCGAGGAAGTCGTCACCTACGCATGCGTCAGGTGGCCATAGCGTGTCATTGTTTACAAACAAGCATCTACCCATGAGCCTTTGCGTTCTTAGCATGTGTTGTTATCGTCACTCAGGACTCAATTCCCGCGTGTACGCAGGTGATGACCTTTCCGCTTTAACCATTTTTACAAATAGAATATTTTGGATGTTGTACATTAAAATTTTCATCACCAGACTTTCTCGCACATATTATTCTCCACTCACTTTTTTCTTACATTCTTCAATATTTCTGATAAGAAACCCTTATTTTGGAGCCAACAGACGAAATTTTAGTAAATTTTCAGTTTTTCTCAAAGAATTCATCTTCTGAAGGAAAGTGCAGACTATAAACAGGATTATTATTTGACTTTCGTGATGAAAAGAGGAAACTGGTGGTGAAAATGTTAATGGTTGGTATAATATTATACATACTGTACTTGTCCAACTTTGCGCTCAGGATACTCACAAAGGGTGTTATTTTGGGGAGTGGATGCTTAGACGCACACTCCACTCGAAGAAATGGCAAAATAATAATTTTCCAAAATACGCACATTTTATTACAATATTATAATTTTCGATGCAAAGCAATTCCCGCCGTGATGGCGCTTAATCAAGCATGGCTGATCAAGTCTGATGAGTACAGTAATAGCAACAAACCACCGACACATTCAGGTATGCGACTCAATATTGCACAATTCACTCCACCTATGAACTCACCAGCAGAGCATATATACATTACATGAATTGTATATCTAATTGTGGCAGTTATTCATTAAAGGGGAACCGGTACTATAAATAGGGGCAAGATGGCCACCGCAATTAGTATGCTAATCCGAACCAAGCCGCTCACATCGTGGCAGGAGCTCCAGGAAATGTGCCATTTACGATGTTTTGAGATCAAGCTGTGATTCCAAATACATTTCTACGGGGGCATGATTATGTACGCTAGCGATTACACTCATCTGGTTGGGCTTTTGATGTATAAATGATGTTGTTTTCGGTCGAAACGTGCCGCGACAAGTAAAAAATCATGAGTTTAAAATGGGGGCTAATATATGCAAAATGCCTGTCAATCACAGTTTGAGTAAGCGAGCATAATAAGCATTCATTTACTTAGTGAACAGAGGCGGAGTTAATTACCCATGAGCACGTGGTGCAATCCATGGGATTGAGCGGTTCCCCCTTTAAATATATACATACCATTGAATACTGATTAGGTGAACCAATCATCTTCATCATTTTATCTTCAGATTTCAACATACTCAACTTTTTAACCAAATCTGTAATTAAATCAGTATTGAGAACCAAATATGACACTAACTGTTTTTTTTTTTAAGAAAAAAAATTATGCTGAATTATGTTGCCTCGAATTCTGATTATTTTTCAAATTCAAATTCCGGTTCGAGTAAGTGACAATCAATAGTCGTTACATGCAGGACTTGGATTTCGGAATTGTGAGGTCAATGATTTTCAAGGCAACACATTTGAGAATGTGTAGTACTTATTTAAGGAAACCAAGGCAGACAGATAGGGCATCAAAACAATGTTCAGATTTTTGTTGGTTTTTTTGAGTGTTCTTTCTTTCTGTCACTGGATCCTTTATTCGAGAAAAACATATAGTATTTGCCAAAACAAATGACAAATATAATAACTAATAACTATTTAAATTAATATCAATATTTTAGTGACTCAGACTTCAAATCCGTTCAAACCAGAAATATTATTTACTGTAAAGTACTTTACCTTAGCTGTAATTAATTTTCGCTGAAAAGAATTTTTGGGTGTTTTGTGAGGAATTTATTTTCACTGATTTTTGCCAAGTTGAATGTAAAATACAGTAAAAAAGGTATATTTGCTGGATTTTATTTTCTCTGAAACATCCCTGAAGCGAGAAAAGCGAAAATTAATTCTGAGCAAAAATAAAGTACTTCATAGTAAATGCTATCAGAAAATTAAACAGAGATGCTACTAAATTCCTTTGAGTGAAAATAGCTATTTTTTTCATATTAAAGCGGGGGAGGGGGGGGGTCATCTGCGCATGTGTCAGATGGCCATAGCATGTCATTGTTTACAAATAAGCGTCTACCCAAGAGCATTTGCGTTTTTAGCATGTGTTGTAATCATCTCTTGGGACTCAATTCTCGCATGTGGGCAGGTGACGACCTTCTTGCTTTAATGTATTACCCGGTATGTGCGCCATTTCACTTCAGCAAAAAATAAATTTCAAGCGAAAATAAAGTATTTTACAGTAACTCACAATCAGTTTAATTTGCCTACTGTAAACATGCATTTTCAGATAAAACTGCAAAAAATATCACTGTGCATAGTGAAGTAAATAACCACAAAATTAAAAGCCATCTGTGACAAAAAACCTACGTATTATGTTGTACATTATGAAATGATTGTTACATTTAAATCAAAACGTTGCAGATATTTGTGACTTTGTCTGCAGATGACTGCGTCTGCAAGTTGCTAAGCAGACGTCTAACGGACTTTCAGTAATCCCGCTCAAAATAAAAATAATAGATCCAAAATTTTGAAAAGAAAAGGTTGTGCCATTTTTACGAGAATACCAAATAAATTATACAGGCCCAAGGCCATTTTCTCTATGTCGCCACGCCCGCGTTATAAAAATCATGTGTCGTCCGACGTATGTTGCGTAGTTTTTAGGTAAACAGTCGAGCTTTAGTTCATTGAACAATTACAAGCGAGAGATTGCAGGCAAAAAGCTAATAGCTGCAGTTCTGTGGCTTTGGATTTCGCTGGTGTCTGTTTGGGGCGTTTTCTGTTGCATCGGTAGTCTGATTCGTTCGTCTATTACCGGTAGTCACCAGCAAAATCCGGAGCTATAGAACTACAGCAAAGCCTGGTAGTATTAGCTGAGTGTGACTGAAGTCGTCACTTGCCCGGCTCCGCAATCACAATTTCGCAACAAAAATGCATTTTGTTTCCCTCGGATCGCTCGACAAATATAAGAAACTTATGTTTTGACACAGACTGTTTTCGCAGAGGTGAACTTCATTCGAAATACTGTCAATGTTTATAAGGGGGGTTGGTCTTACTGAAGGAGTAGTCGGACTCCCGGAATCAGACAGAAAAGCAACCACGAACTACTAATAAAAAAAACACGGACTGTACAGGAACGTAAATTGGGGCAACATAAATTTCACAAAATATGGATATTGCGTTGCCCGATCCCACAAAAAGGGGGCACTATGCCCGCAACTCGCTCAGTAAATAAACATAGCACGCCGCTTTCTGCACCGAAAAGCGTGCGTGAGCACACACGACACTGTAAAGTCAGATGCACTCGGAATAACGATGTGATCTAACATTGAAAAGATACTGATATGATCGAATATGCGAGAAGACAAACATTATCTATGTTACGTTCACTCACGGGCGAACTAATGCTTTATTTGCTCATTGCGGATTTCTAAACAGGCTAAATCTGAATTTCTGTACGTGGACGAGAACGCGCGAAAACAGCAACAATGCTCTGTCTTGATCAACCAGCGTCCAATGCCAGTAAACTAAATTCGTGTTCAAAACTTACCTGATCACTCCACGGTATTCAGCTCATATCAGGAAACACCGCGACAAAAGCGAAATCCTAAACTTACAATACAGTGAGCCGATAAACGTGCTACAGTCTCTTTTCTGAAAATCTCTTCGTCTGTCTATTTTAAACTGTTTACAAATTCAGTTGAAAAAAATGAAATGTATCAATTTTATGCAAATGATGGAGTTTCAAATATGGGTTTCCCCGGGAAATTCGTGGAGGCTCAATATTTTCTTCCCGGTGTCGCTGCATGACAATAATTATTTAAATGATTAAGATTACCGCTAGAAAAAATTAAGATTCAGGAATGTTCAACATACATTGAATTTAATTTGTAAAAGTAATACACAACCGGTATTTTCTGACGGTCTCCCTGCATATGGTACATTTGGTGCGGCCGGTTAACTTGCAGCCAATCAAAATGTAACATGGTAGTGGAAGTGGAAGCTCCCATTACAAAAAAGGGTGAACGAACACGCGTGCATGACCTCGGAGATGACAAACTTCGCTATACAACCACGATAACTGTGCTTCAGGGAACCAATTTGAACATGTTCTACAGGAAATGTGATCAAGCATTGAATCAAAGCGATAAAATTAAGGATGGGATATTTGTTGAAAAACTTGCAAGCTATACCATGAGAAAAAATATGTGTTATTGTATTGTCACATTCAATAAAAATATACAAATAAGATACAACGAAAAAAACACACAGTGGCGACGCTCCCCCCTCCCAAAAAAAAAAACAAGCTGAAACACTGTATGTTTGTGTCGATGCGACACAGTTGAAGAGGAATGCCTGTCTTGCCCATCAAAATGCAAAAATAGCGTTTCAGAGGATCTAGATTTCCACGGAGGACATGTATGTATTGGGAGGATGGGCATGCGCGAGGGATGGTTAGCAGACACCCTCCCTCCGTGCAAAATTTCGTGCCACCGCCTCTGGTCACACTTATTCAGTCACCCCCCTCATTTCAAGTGGTTAATCCTGGCCCTTACCCTGGATCGAGTGCCGTGTCTTTCATTTGACCTCTCACTCTCGCAGCTGCAATGGCGTCGAATAGTTCAACGATGTGGTTTGGTGGTTTTCTCCTAATTGCTTTCTCGTTCGTAGCTCTCCTTACCAGAGACGACTGCTGCTCAATATGCTTGCCAGTGATCATGTCTGTTATCGGAGGGGCTATGTTACTTGTATCTAGACCAGGGAAGCGAGTCGATCCTCGGAACAAAGCCATCCTCGTTACCGGATGTGATCGGGGGTTTGGGCTCTCCATTGCTAAACATTTCTACTCGCTCGGGTTTGAAGTATTTGCAGGCTGTCTTTTCAAAGACAACGGTGGTGATGGCGCTGTGGAGTTAGAAAAGATGGGCTCTAACAGAATGCATGTGTTACAGTTGGACGTTGCAGACGATGAACAAGTGAAGATGGCAGTGAAATGCGTGAAGGAACTGACCGGGGAGCGAGGTGAGATTCCAAACTTTATTTTTAATAATTACTTTTATCACACCTTTTATTAAGTGTCAATATTAGTGACAACTGGTTTCGGCTTCACCTCATTGAAATATTACTTAGTAAAAATATGTGCGTCGGCAACACCTCCTTTGCGGGATAATAGGGTGTCTCCGATCAAGTACAATGGTTCAGTCCAAGATGGCGTCATTTTGCAGTTGCATGCGATAGAATGAACAGAAATGATATTGTCGACAGTGTTGCATAATTCTCGGGTCGAAGTGACGCACAGTGTATAACTCTGGGGGTCGAAGTGACTAGGGGGCACGGGGTCGAGGTGTCTAACTTGGGGTCGAGGGTCGAACAGGATAGGGGTCGAAGTGACTTGATTTCCTAAGGAAACTAACGTACTCGTAAACAACACTTGCTGCAGTTTATGCAGCTCTCTTGGTCGTGGTATACGTTGCGGGGCAACGTAATATCAAAATAGCTTAAGCGGCCAATAAGAGCTGCTACACTGCAGCAAAAACAACGCTTGTGAAATACTAATACATTGTTTGATTACATAAAATTCAAGTATGTGCTGCGTGACGTCCTTTGCATTTTTCTGTGACTGTAATTTATGTTACGATCAATGAGTCCCGACCGGTGTTAGTGTTTTGAGCTGTGCATAGAAGAAAACGTGCAATATAGAATAGCAGTTTACGCACTATCCCTGCGTACAGTGTTGTGTGTACGGGGACGCGTTCGGTTGATAGATGTCCCTCACCACAGCCCTGCGTACAGTGTTGTGTGTACGGGGACGCGTTCGGTTGATAGATGTCCCTCACCACAGCCCTGCGTACAGTGTTGTGTGTACGGGGACGCGTTCGGTTGATAGATGTCCCCCACCACGGCGCTGTGTACCTCCTTAGACCATGGAGCTAGAAAGGAAAGGAGAGAGGACACTACTGTTTCTGCCTGTTCTATGATAGTTATAGTTTATTTGCTCATTAGATATTGACCACTTCGTTATAACAAAATTAACAGGGTTTAATTTTTTGTTGGTTGACTTCATGATGTATACTGTAAAATGCACAATTTTCACTGGGTTTTAATTTAGCGCGAAATAGGCAAAATTAAAACCCAGTGAATAATTAGCCCTTTACAGTAAGTTCGGAGACTATATCAACTACATCAAATTGCTATATGAAATAGGAATTTTTATTTTCATGTTATACTTTAAAAACAAAGTAAAGTAGCTATCACAAAATATATAATTACTAAAATTAATAAAATTGGTCATGGATAGGCAACAACTTGTGTTTAAAAAATTAAACGATTTACAGTAAAAAAACGGTCTCAATCATGGTGTAAAAGGCTTATTTTAAAAAGATTAATTCTGCTTAAAACAGGCATAAACAGTGTCCTTTCTCCTTCCCTTTCTGGCTCCATGCTTAGACAAAGTCCGGGAGCGTACCAGAGTTGGTGCGCAAGTTAAAAATAAGTAGTTTCCCAGCTGCAATCGGTTGAAATAGCGATAGTTATCCGTAACAATCATTACAAAATTATCTGAATCGGAAATGTTTTAAAATAAAATTGCAGGTGGTACGCAGGGCTGTGGTGAGGGACATCTATCAACCGAACGCGTCTCGTACACACAACACTGTACGCAGGGCTGTGGTGGGGGACATCTATCAACCGAACGCGTCTCGTACACACAACACTGTACGCAGGGCTGTGGTGAGGGACATCTATCAACCGAACGCGTCTCGTACACACAACACTGTACGCAGGGCTGTGGTGAGGGACATCTATCAACCGAACGCGTCTCGTACACACAACACTGTACGCAGGGCTGTGGTTGGGGACATCTATCAACCGAACGCGTCTCGTACACACAACACTGTACGCAGGGCTGTGGTGAGGGAAATCTATCAACCGAACGCGTCTCGTACACACAACACTGTACGCAGGGCTGTGGTGAGGGACATCTATCAACCGAACGCGTCTCGTACACACAACACTGTACGCAGGGCTGTGGTTGGGGACATCTATCAACCGAACGCGTCTCGTACACACAACACTGTACGCAGGGCTGTGGTTGGGGACATCTATCAACCGAACGCGTCTCGTACACACAACACTGTACGCAGGGCTGTGGTTGGGGACATCTATCAACCGAACGCGTCTCGTACACACAACACTGTACGCAGGGCTGTGGTTGGGGACATCTATCAACCGAACGCGTCTCGTACACACAACACTGTACACAGGGCTGTGGTTGGGGACATCTATCAACCGAACGCGTCTCGTACACACAACACTGTACGCAGGGCTAAATACACACATATGCAAAGTATGGCAGTGCCCAGTAAAAAAAAATATTTAATAAAATTGTATTTTGAAAGCTAAAATACAGTTTGTTCATTATTGAATTCTTTGGGAATCTCCCTAAAATTGCAAGATATGAAATACCACCAGTCATCTTTGTGGTCAATGTAACATATTCTCAGTCATCCTGACTTGCAGAGTCATTGCGAAGCTACTTACAAGATTGTGCCCGATTGGCTACCCAACCCTAACACCTAACAGTCAGACCAATCAGAGAGCAGCTTTTTGTTGGTAGTTTTTTTTTATTCTGCCTTGTACATTCTGTCATTGGTACAATACTTAATATTTTAGACTTTTTGGGTGTTTTGTATGGTGTTTATTTTTTATTCATTTTCGATGAGTTCACTGTCAAATATAGAAACAAAAGTTATATTTGCTGGATTTTCTTTTCACTGCTCAAATTGTACTATCGGTAATTCATTTAAAATTATATAGTGAATTTTGGGAAAAATGATGCATTTTACTCTGACCCAGCACATCATACCAGCAAGGTATGCAGACAGATGCTAGTCAATGATAAAATTACCCCTAGTTCAACGTACTGGTATGTACAAGACTGCTATTATTGTCAATCTAGCACTGAAAATAAAATAAAATTTGAATATTCTGTTTAAAGCCGTATTTGCAGTTATTCAAAACGTATTTGCAGTCGTACATCTATTCTGTGTAAAACATCTACTAGTACTGTAAAATCTGTATTAGAAGCTGCGGCTTCTATTAAAATGGTAGATTACAACAGAGGGAATGCGGCTTCTATTAGAGCATCTACACATATGAGAAATGGTGAATTTTTGGTTCTCAATTATTCAAAAAGAATGGATGCGACTTCTATTAGGGATGCGGCTTCCAATACAGATTTTACGGTACCATGTTCATTTTAAATATGGCGATATGTTTTTGTTAGTAATCCTTCAGATGTGGCAACAATATTGTGTATGACTGTACATACACAGTAGTATCAGCTCCATCCCAATAGCTCCTCAGAATGCCGGTAACCAAGAAAACCAGCAATTAAATGGCAAGCTAGAAATCACCCCCCCCCCCCCCCCATTCTTACACAGCTCAAAACCATTTACCTACACACTTCCTGTTGGTTTAAATTTAATAATATTTGTTATTAAAAAAAAAAAATTTTAATAATTGCAAAAAATAATATAAAATAATTGCAATTGCATTATGCTTGTAAGAAAAAAAAGGATGTATGCCCTACAGGGACAGTGAGTAGAATAATTGTACCATGTGATGCACTATGTTGATTGATATTTGTATACTTATTCATATTGCCGACTTTGTTAAATATTCAGGTTTATGGGCCCTGGTGAATAATGCTGGCTTGTCTACCTATGGACACGTGGAGTGGTGCACAATGGAAACGTACAAACAGATAGCTGATGTAACATTGTGGGGAGTGGTACGCACAACCAAAGCTTTTCTGCCTTTATTACGTAAATCAAAAGGTGAGATGAATGACATTCTGAGATAATTTAACACATGGCCTATGTCCTGCTGATAGAATCCGTGGATTGCTAAAATAAATCGAAAAAAAAAACGGCATCAACAGGCAGGCGATGTGATGGAAAACAATTACTGCACTGAAAATTAAAATTGACCATTTTATCATACTCAATCATCCTACCTTACCATCATTTGACAGTTATTCAGTGTTTCCCCTAGAAGTATGAGAATAATAGCCAAGTGGCTATTGTAACCTCCAAAACATTAGCCAAAAATAATTTTCTATAGCCAGTTCCAGTTACATAGAAGCTGACAAATGAAAACCAGGCTTTTACCAAAAAAAAATAATTTAACTATAAAAAAAAGAGTGGGACCCCAGAACTGAGTAAAATTTAAGCATGAAATATAATGCTTATATGAAACACACAACTTTGTGATGTAACTGACATTTATTAACATGTTCAAGTAATAAAAGTGAACATTAGTATTACAATGTAGTATAACAATATTCTGCAATACAGAAAAAACAAACACAATACAATGTTTAATTAACACCATG